TAGCCTAGACCGACCTAGACCGGACTGACTGACCGACTGGTACCGTTTCTGTTTCGGCCTCTAGGGCCTCTCCCTACCCGGCTATAGGCTATAGGACCGTCTATCAGCGTAGGCCCATAGGGACTGTCTGTCCTAGGGGTAGCCTGGGTCCGCTATTCGCAGTTAGGGTACCTGTAGGAAAATCGAGTTAGTACTGGGCCCATATTTCTATATTTACAGATATGTCCCTCGCGAATTTTCCATATAGGCAGGCCTCTCGGTTTGTCCTTAGCCAAACAAAATTACGAATCTGTCCCTACCTAGAGTACAGCCTCGTCAGAGATAGGCTACAGGCAACCTGGAACCAGAAGTCATTGCAGCTGTCTGCTGCAGAGTCCCAAGAAACTTGCTCGATGTTGGACTTTCATGGATGACCCACCTGATGCTCAGATGCAGCATCCCAAGCTTTTGTCTTCGTGAATGACACCCTCACATGGCATGTCCTAGTTTTAGAAAGCGCCTGGAGCGGCAGTGTCTATGCACCAGTGGTAACTGTGACTGTGTTCCTAGCCGGGGGGAGCTATGTTGCCTGTGAAATCTGTCAGTGCCATGACATCCGGCAGAGTGAATGTGATGCTTCACACGCGACACCTGAACTGGTCCTGCCCATTCTGCAGGGGTGGCTACTTACCACAGGCAATGACTGCTCTTCAGCTCACTTTTCTCAGCAACCCAAGTGGCCTCGTGCCAGTCTCTAGCAGTCTGCTCTGCCAGTGCATATTGCAGACCCAATGAGATTCCTCTATACCCTGCTCTTCTCCTCCTCCACTCTCCTCTTCTCTTTCCCCCTCCTTCCCTCCTCTTCCCTCCTCTTCCCTTCTAACCTCCTTCCTTTCCCCCGTGTAGAACTACTAAATGCAAATCAATGAGCATCTCTTTCCCCTGCTCTTCTCCTCCCTCCACTCTCCTCCTCTTTTCCCCTTCTTCCCTCATCTTCCCCTCCTACCTCCATCCTCCCCCCCATGTAGAACTACTAGATGCAGATGAATGAGCATCTCTTGCCCCTGCTCTTCTCCTCCCTCCACCCTCCTCCTCCTCTTTCCCCCTCCTTACCTCCCCTTCCGCTCCTACCTCCTTGCTTCCCCCCGTGTAGAACTACATGCATATGAACGAGCATCACTAAAAGGACACACAAAATATAATGTGGAGATGTGCTGAAACAAAAACGGGTGTGTAATACTGTGTATGCATTCCATGCATTAGCACACACATGTGGTGGGCCTTGCACCTTTCCGAGTGTGAGAATGAAACAGCCATTTCATCAAAACATTACATTTATCAAAGACTACAACCATTTAAAATATCGAATACAACTTGATTGAAGATTATAAGGTCAAAAAAAAAAAAAAAAAAAAACAGATTATATGGTCAGGCTGTTTCAATTTTGGATTGACGCAAGCGGGAGGAAAAGGGGCTGTTCTGGTGACAATCTGCAACACAAACACATGCATACAATGTGACATCATAGTATCATACACACAAGCTAGCTGAAGACAAGCCGGTCCAACAAAGAGGGCCAAAGCAAAAAAGGGACTGCGATCCTCATACCAAGAACATCCAAGATTCTGACTGAAGGTCAGATCTTGAACAGTGAGGGTGACAGTGAGGAAGGTAGATGATCATGGTTAGACATAAGATGGCAAGAAGAGGACCTCAGAATTCTCAACCTATATGCACCTAACGAGGAACCTGAAAGAATGACCTTCTTTGAGAACATCAAAAGTTCAAAACCCTCATCCCCAACCTGCAACCGGTAATCAGGAGACTGGAACACGACCCTGGACCCCAACCTGGACCGGATCTTACTAATGGGTCCCACAAGAGCAGGAGCCCCGATATGAAATCTGATGACAGAATTCGAACTCATCGATCCGCTCAGGGTACTGCATTCGGGAAAAAAAGTCTTCTCCCGGATAAAGAAGAACCAAGCTAATCGGCTGTTTGTCCTTTCTTAATCCAGTTTTGTCTTTGTTCAAGAATAGCATGTAGTTAGACAGGAGAAAGGGACACTGGACCCGGTTTCTAGTACGAGCCTAATCTGGGTAATGGCCCCAGGCTTCCGGGTTGAGATGTGGAGGGATTCCCGGCCTCCCTTTTGTTCAATATATAATGGAAAAAAAAAAACAAAAAAAAAAAAACAAGCTAATCGGACGTCACTGTCCGGGATTGACTACTTCCTCATATCTGAGAGCCTACAAGGTGCGATCAAAGAAGCTGAAATCCATCCATCTGCAGCTTTCAAAGGACTGAACCATAAACCCATTCAATTGCTGCTCAACTTCAATTCACCAATCAAACAGGGCAGGGATTTTTCAGGCTGAACAACTCATCTTAGCAACCGAGAGGTTGTCGGTTGCTGTCAAAGAATACTGGTCCTTCCATAAACAGCAAGAGACAGTCAAATAGATACCAATGGTTCATAGACAGTTACATGGAACTAACGCAAACAATATCAGCAGAATCACGAGGCATAGCTGGTGACCGCAAGAGGAGAAGGGAGGAACTCCAATTGGGGCAAAACTGAAGAGTGGTGGCTAGCAGACGGCACCCCTCCCCAACCAACCGATACAGCCACACCCATGTCATGGACGACGGGAGATCAAGCACTACGTTTCCTAGGTATCATTGTTAACAACGACGGAGTGTGGTCTGGAATGGGTCAGGACCTAGTTGCCACGGCAATCACCCGCTTGGCCCCATGCAAAAACGCTCAGGCTTCATTAATCGGATGAGCCCTACTAATTAACACGACAATCTTCTCCACATTGTGGTCCATGGCTTCCATATGGTCTCCCCCTGACGACGACCTCAAGATGTTAAAGAACAGGGCGAGATGTTATCTATGGACAGGAGATCCCCATAGGACCACATGTATCAACAAGGTAGCCTGGAACCACATTATTAGGAAACCACAGGAGGGGGGCCTTGGGCTAATTGACCCCAAACAGGAGTCCAGAGCACTGCAGATGAAATGGGTTATCAAGATCCTGATCAGACAATTCATTCCATGGACCCAGATGGCTCTAGACAGCATCAGAAACTTGGCACCTATCAACTACCCCCCGAATATGAGAGGCCTCTTCTGGTTAATGGAGAAGGACTGGACAATCAAATCAGGCAGACCTCGCAGAAGAAACCCAGCAGAGCTCACCACAACCCCCACCCAAATATCTATCTCATATTGGAGCCCTACCATCAAAGCCTGCTGCAGAATGATGCCAAGCAAACACGGCAGACCAGGAAACAGAGAAGATGTTTTGAGACCACCTCTTCTCTGCAACCCCTGGATCATAAATCGTGGACACCGCGCAAGGGACCGGAGATGGCTGTCCTAGGTGGAAAAAGGGGTGTGGCAGGTGAAGCACATCTGGGCAGAAGATCGCGGACGACGGTATACAGAACACGAGCTCCGCAATTATTTAAATGGTTGCCACTCCCTTACTGAAAACCCAACGTTGATTCAGAAGAGCATTCCAATACAGTGGCTCTCCCTCCTAAGGCAGGAATTTTCGTGGATATCAGGGGATCGGGGCATACTCATCTCCCAAAACCAGCCTGCCAGAGCATATCGGTTTGTCTCTCAAATCGATCCACTCAGCTACTTATCCAAATCTACTCATACCCCATCGTTAATCACAGCCCTCAAGAGCTGGAAATCCTTAACAAAGAACCCCAGTGAGACATAGTAGAAGCCTTCCGTCTGAGAAAAGTGAGGGTCCCAAAGGCCCAGCCCTGGAAACTCTTCCAACCGGACTTCAGCATTTCAGACCCCGAATTCGACCCGAAAGAGTGTCTGGAAGCAGGGTAAGTCCGGGAGAACAATGACGATATTCGAATATGATGTTAAATTCGGTTATGACTTGGGTTCACAGACCACAGATCCGGACCCCAGACTCGAAGGAAAATGGAGAGAGATCCTGTAGACCCCACGGGCCCCATTTCCATCCCTTGGACGAATTACCTGTCTATTAGACCGGTTAGGATCCGAAGCATGCAGTGGCTCGTTGCGCACGCATCTCTACCGGTCAACCAATGGCTCCACAAGAGGAGGAAATATACGGACCCTGACAGCTCCGAATTATGCACGTTGTGCACAGACAACATCCACATACCCCACTGCCTCCTGTATTGTACTGAATCGGCATCGATATGGAACAAGGTGCACAACCTATGGTCCCTCCTCTTCTCATCAACCCCTCCGTACACTACTCCTCTGAACATCCTGCTCCTATCCAACAATACTAATGATCTCAAAGGTGCAGAGGAAGTCTGGTTTCACCTACTCAGGAAGCTGGCTCTATAGGTAATCTGGAAAAGGAGGTGTACCAAGACTATCGAGTGTACCGAGGTGGCAAAATAAAGAAATGTGGTTCCTACTCCTGGGAATCGAGGGTACCGAGGTGGCAAAGGAAGAAATGTGGTTCCAACTGCTGGGAATGGCAGAAACCGAGATTCGATTCAGATGGAGGGAGGTGACATCAACAACGAAAGTCAGACCAGAAAGATTAGCCATCAATAGACGGTCTTTCGTGAGAAACTGGCTTCTACAGGGAAAGATTGCAACCGTGGCAGATAACAGATTGACTTGGAAAAAATGGCACAGCGCAGATCCAGCAAGGACGATGACCCATTGATGGGCAAACTGAGATTACAATCTCAACAATATAGACGACTCTTTTCTTTTCTTGCTTTCCGCAAATTCTCTGACAAAGTCACAATAGATTCTGAGAGGAAAAGTGGCAGGGCAAGCTGACATTCAATCCTCCAGTTATGGAGCAATCAATGCTGGTCAGGGTTCCTTCAACCAGACGGAAGGAAGCGAGAGAGTGTTCACCATGTATTTCAATCCTGGACTTGCCAGTGGGAAGGAACCCGACTGATGCTCCCCAGAATGGATATGGAGCCAGGACCATAAGGACCTGTTATTGAAGAAAAAGAAAAAAAAACATTTAAATTTTAAAATATCGAATACGACTTGATTGAAGGTTATAAGGTCAAAACAAAAAAAAAAGACTGTATGGTCAGGCTGTTTCAATTTATGGGAGGAAAAGGGACTGTTCTGGTGACAATCTGCAACACAAACACATGCATACAATGTGACAGCATACACACAAGCTAGCTGAAGACAAGGGTCTGCGGCATTACCAACCTGAAGCATGTCAGAAGCTGTCTTTGGCAGCTCTGCAAACACCACCACTTGTGCGGAGCTGAAATCCAACCCAACACCACCAGCTGTCACTCCAACAATTGCCACCCTAACCTGAAAAGGCACTAAACATTAAATGAGGACAAAGTTCCGACAAACTAAACAAAGTAGTAAAGTGCTACGACAAGCTGGTATGAGGAACCAACACACACTCTTGGGTGAATAAATGTTCAGGCCTGGTTACTGACCCATATTGCACAGAGGTTATGTTAATCTCTTCACTGTTAGAATCTCCGTACACATTTTACTATGTTTATTATTATGTGTACGAGATTACCCGCCCTCTCTCTCTCTCTCTCTCTCTCTCTCTCTCTCTCTCTCTCTCTCTCTCTCTCTCTCTCTCTCTCTCTCTCTCT